CCGTCGAGGGAGCCCTAGCGAGGGAGGAGACACGACACACGACGAGGGGCTGTGGGTCTTACAGTGGTGGTCTCTACCGTCACCCCGCCAGCGGCCCGGCGGGTTCGGCTTAGGCCTCCACTGTCTGTCGGCGCCAAACCACACCCTCCACCCGGACCGAGGCCGGGCAGGTGTTCCTCGCACGTGAGCAGACTGCCCCGTTGGAGGTGCCCCTTGGAGGCTTACATAGCCCTCCGGTCTACTAAGATCCGCAGGACTAGAGCGAAAGAAAGCAAGCGCGTGCCGTTGGAGGTAGGCCGCTCGTCTCTTGACGCCGACGTGACTCACCCGTGCAGATCACATCAGGACACGGTCTCGACGCGCTCGGTACGACGCCTGCGACCCGTCTCGGGTCAGGTGGCACGACGCTCATCGCGCCTACCAGCGCTGCCGTACAGGTTGCCACGACGAGGTCCAGCACGCTTCTATACGCTCGCCGAGCCTTCCTTTCCATCCCATTAGGCAGCCTGGGAACGGTGGCGGTCAGAGGCAAAGCCTACGAGGGGTGGTGGAACCACATGTCACGGCTACTGCCGGCTCGACCCCACGATAGCCTCCGAAGGCTGACTTTGAGGCACCATCATCGGACGATGTCGACGAGTTGGGTCGCTCTCGCGGTAGCCAGATGACCTCTCTTCCTAGGAGCATCGGCCATGGACGCAGGGAGCGCGGGGGAGGGCGCTGGAAGCAACACGGAGCTCCGTTGGAGACGTTTTCAAGATTAGCGTGTCAGTGAGAGTGAAATGGCACTAGCCACAGGACAGCTCCGGGGTTTGCCGCCGCGCGCCGGCTCGCGCGCGGACTTGCGTGCGCGGAGCGGAGGCGGTCTCTCTCGCCGTCTCTGGGCTCTGCGCGTGTATAGACTTCCGACGTAGATGTCGCTGCCGACGCTCCGAATCAAAATAGAAGACACAGCTAAAAACATACACACATGGCCATGCCGCCTGGCTCCGGTTAGGTTTGCGCGAATCGGCCTCCAGCTCTAACTGTGACCCCGCGCCGATCCCTCTCAGACTCAGTGCGGGTCGCTCACAAAGAAGCGGAGCAGCAGGTAGCAGGAGGCCTGCCCGGCCACGAGCCACAGCACGAGCGCCTGCAGGTCGGCCCACGCGGCGCAC